ATTTACATGGTACATGAAACAACAGATGAATTTCTTCACCCATATGCTGTTATGCTAAAAATAAAGGTCAAAGTCCTGCACCTTTGTGATAAAAAAAATAGGGATTTACAATAAAAGTGAAAAAAAAAACAACAAAGACAAACAAAACAGAGAAGCATCTAGGTAGGATTTGCTACCCACTTTATCTATCATATTCTTATCTTACCTGCCTAAAAGCCCTAGGGAAAATATGAGGTTTGTAGCATGTTGTGAAGGATAATAAATACAGCATACTTTGCAGCATATGGATTATCTCAGACCCTCATAAAAAGCTGTCAAAACCAAGCAATCTAAAAGCTCCTGAGTGAGCATATGTTGCATTACGGCATGATTAGAAATATATTTCTCTGACTAAAGGAATCAGTAAACTTTTACATCTCAAAAGCAAGACAATCAATCATCAAAAGTCCTATAGGTAAATACTGCAAAGCACAAATTACAAACAATAGGTGTTAAAGGAGAGGAATAAAACAGTCTTTGAAAAGCAATTGCCAGATTTTGCAGTCAGTTTCTGATGGAACACCTACACCAGATTTTAATCCTAATGATATCAGATAATAAAAAAAAAATTCCATGGATAGACTCATATTAAAGAATGAAGTTGAATTTATGACATCTATTGCATAATCAATTTGTAAGTGGAGAAATTTGCTAAAGCAATTGACAATTATGATCTGAGACTAAAATTAAAATATAAATAATTTTCATATAATTGTGTAAACTATTTTTATGAGTACTGAAATGGAAGCTATTGGGCTAAGATAAGGCAAATTTCTAATATTACTTCTGCAGTTTGGTTTGTTTCTGAAATACATATTATTTTATGAACTTGTTCTGAACGACAGAGATTGAAGAAGAAAAATCTTAAAGCAGTTAATGGAGGCAGTTTATAAAGGCTGGAATGAGAAGGTTGTGATAGAATATCCCCTGCATTGACAGTAAGAAAACTGTATCTTCACTACAAAATCAAACATGTAAACCTTCCAGTGCTCGAGTCTAACATTTCCTTCCCTTCATAATATCCTGCAGTAACCCAATCCCTATGCGATATTGCCCATATCCATTTTTCACTGTAGCTCACTCACTTCCCTGGTAACATTCTTAAGAAAACCAAAACAATAGTCAGAAATGAGTGAAACAGCTGCAATGAAATTTCATTAACAGACTTAGTACACTACTACAGTAGTTTATGAAATGAACGCTCATGAGTTCATGAAATGGAACTCTCAGTCACTGCTATGAGGCAAATCTTGGCAACAAGTTGGTTTTAGCAGCCAATAATACAAATTAGACTAATCTGATGCAAAAAGTTATATCCTAACCCAAATCATGCAAGGTATGCCTGATTTTGAGGCAAATACAGTCCTTATATTGTACCAAAATTTATTAAATTATTACAGTGTTTGTAGTCACAATATCCCATCATAATGAAAAATGTACTTCAGCAATGCTGCTACTTTTCCTTCAGCATGAATATCATGGTGAACCATGAGAACTAGATAAAGGACATTGTCTGACAGTCATATGCACATTTATTTGCAAATATTAGATGGTGTGACATTCCTTTTATTCACACAAGGAATTATTTCTGTGGTATAAAGAAAGCAGTAAAATCTCCTGTAAGCAGAAGAGGAAGCTACTATCACTATCTAATTTTCACTGTATTTAAACTTGTATTAAACAGCACTCACTACTTTTAAGTCTATTTCCATTTAATATGATTTTGTAGACACAGCATGCTCTTTGAAGATGGCTTATCTTCAGTAGCTGAAATGCATTGCTTTTCCTGAAGTGAAAAGACAAAATCCTTTCTATCACAGGAGTACATCAAAAGAGCTCCAAACAATTAGGATTACATTAAATAAAATAAAAAAAATAATTACCATTTTCTTTATTTTTTTATTGTTATTGTCCACAATGTCTCTTCATAATGTTTAACACATGCACAACAAAGAAAAACCTGTGTGCCTGTACACTGTGCTACAATATGCAGTATCTCCTGCATTCCAATTTAACTTCATTGGTTTCCCTGATACCATTGTTAAAAACTTATTTACCTCACTGAAAATCATTTCTGAGAAGATTAAATGTTTGCAAGCCTCTAGAAAGCTGCTGAAAAAGTTACAGTAATTTTTCATGAAAGTTACTTTATTATGCCATATTACACTGCAGTTGATTAAATTAAATAGTAAATTTATAAAATAATTAACACATATTTCAAGACTGACTCTATCAAACTTAACTGTCAGAAATATATATTTAATTGTCAATAAAGGAAAAAAAAGCATACATATATATACAGGATATATACTTCATAATTAACTAAAGCACATGTGAAAATGTATAAGATGACAGTGAGAGGCAGCTCCAAGTCTTTCTGACATATAACATCTCCATCACTAAGATTTTGAATTTTAAAATCATAGAATCACAGAATTGTTTAGGTTGGAAAAGATATTTAAGACCATCAACTGTTAAACCAGCACTGCCAAGCTAAACCATAACCTTAACTGCTATCTCTACAGGATTTTTAAATATCTCCAGTGATGGTGATTCAGCCACTTCCCTGTGCAGCCTCTTTCAGTGTTTTACAATCCTTTCTGTGAAGATTTTTTTCAAATATCCAATCTAAATTTCCCCCAGTTCAACTTGAGTCCATTTCCTCTTGTCTGATTTCTTGTTAGTTGAGGGGAGACTGACCCCACCTCACTATAGCCAACTTCAGGGAGTTGTAGGGAGCTATAAGGTCTCACTGCAGCCTCTTTTTCTCCCAGCTAAATGGCCCCAGGTCCCTCAGACACTTCTCATAAGACTCACATAATTGGCCTTGATCCATTGATTTTGTCTGCACAGATCCCCCTGCAGAGTTTTCTTACCCTCCAGTGAATCAACACTCTCACAAGACTTGGTGTCATCTGCAGAATGCCATCTTAAAACAATGCTCAGAACTATTTCCAGTCTTCTAAAGTGATTACAATGTTTAATTATTCATTGTTCTGTAACTAGCCTGAATCCCATAAATGGTATGCATGCCTTCTTTTTCAGCAGGAAAAACAAGAGTGGCCCATTTCGTGAGCTGTCCTGAAAAAAATTCCTGCAAATGAAATAAAGTTTCTTTCTTTTTAGACTCTAAAGGAAAAGCAAAATATAGAGAATAGGTTGGTTTTCTTTTGTCATGGGCTATTGTCATGGGCTGATTTAGAGACTCATGTTAATTTCTGCTTGCTGGAGTAGGGGGAACATGCAGAGAATAAGTGTATTAGCATCATGGTAATTAGTGGATCTCTGAGGGATGGCAATGACATGGCAGTTTGAATGCTTCAGTGTCAGGCAAAAGGCTGTTTTTGTGAAGACTTCCACATTACTGAGGGTTCAGGTATTCATACTTTGGCTATCTTCAGGATCTTAATCTTGCTTAAAATGAACAACAAAGGAATAACAATTGAATTCTAATGGATTTAAATTATCTAAGTAACTAGAAATTTTATGCCTCCACTCTTCCCCTTTCTGTGTCACTTGGGATTTGTCATTTGGATCCTCTCTTAGGTGTCTTTAATGGGCTTGCAGAGTACCTGAGTGTTTAGTCTCTATTCATATAGAACCTGCTTAATGATTTTATCATCTTTATATCTCTTCTCTAAAAACTGTCTTCCAATTTGCTTTCTCTATTTTGATATGGAGAGGGAGTCATAACCAGGAGACAAACAGAATTCTGTATATTATTAGTTTTTCGAAAATCTCACTTTTATCAGTGTCATAGAGACACTGTGCTCCATTTCTTCTGGTCACAGAGAAGCTTACACTTGCTTTTTAGCTTCCATTAGTGTGGCTTGGTTTATGGTGTTCCTTTTTGGCTGATAAGCACAGCTGCAGTGGATTACTGACTTTTTCTCCTTTCATTAATTTGTGAATGTTACTTAGTGGTCCAGACCAGGAGTGTGGTTTAACTTGCTGGAAAAATTATGATAGTGATGGAAACTGAAATGCATTATCAAACTGCTTCTCCACATTGAGTGCTGACTGCCACATCTGAGGCAGCAAGGTACAGTGCAATGGATACACACTCCACTCTATTTCCCATGGAAGGAAAGGGGAACAGTGTTGTCCTGCAAAAGTTCTTCATTTAACAATTCTTGGACAGATACAGCTATAAAAGGTCTATTCCAATAAAAGGTTTTTGTTCCTTCTACACTCCTCCACAAGCTTTTAAAAGAGTAACTTACTCCTGAGACAAGCAGACAGCTAGCTTGCTTTCTTCTTGCTGGACAAGATGACTGGACCTATTTTAAGCTACCTAATAGAAACTTGGCACTCAGAGAGCACACTAGGTGCCTTACTTTCCTATAAAGTGAACACAAAGCTTCCACTTCCAAGACTGTGGATTCTATGAGCACAGGTATTAGATATATCTATGTACAAAGACTATGGAAAGCTTCCTACCTACCTCATTTTCCTAATTTTATTTTCATTTTATTCTCATTCAGTTGCAAGTGTTGTTACTTTTACAGGAATAATATACCCTATTATGAATTGCAAGTCAGTGACAGCAATGGAAGTCATGGTGCTGCTTCTGCCAATCTATTTACTTTCCAAGATTTTTCTATAAGTCACGCTCTCATTGTTGGAAATTCAACTATTTCCAGGACTGAGTAGCTTGGAGCTACTGCACAACATCTTCCCTGGCGGAATGTTTGTGTTTTCTACAGTAAATGATTCCAATGAGAATCAATTTATTTCCACTAAGCACATCAGGGATGTGATGAGCACTGTCCAACTGTAGTTATTAACATTCTTTCCAAGGATGTGTTGTGGCCCAGACTGCCATAACACGATTTTACTGTAAATGTGCAGGTATCATAGTTAATGAGATATAATATCTGTGGAATTTACTAACAGTAATTTCTATGATCAATCTCTATGATCTTTGAAACAATGATAAAAACAGACAACAGTAAACTTACCTAATTTGCACACTATACCAGTGTCCATCGTCCACCCTAGCTGTGGTAGTGATGTTTTTGACTTCTGCTGCTTCATCACAGAAATACTGGTACTACAGAGTGGGAAAAGGTTTTAATTACGTTATTTCTAATAATTAAACAGTTTCAAGCATAGACAGTTGAATTTCAAAATAACTAATGGTTTCAAAAACCTGAAGGATATCATGTGTATCAAGGAAAGTGAATGTCTCATTAAAAGTTCTGAATAAGGAAGCCTATCGTACCAGAAATATACAAGAATACATATATGCTTCCTAACCTGAATGAAAATGCTTTAATCTTTGTGTGTTGTACAATCAGACATTATGGGTCTGATTTGCAAAGAAGTTGACCATCTGCAACCCATCTGAAATTAACACTGCCCACTGGTGAATTTTACTTACCATTTTATGGCTTCCTTACACTTCCAAACACGCAATGTAGCATGCAGGCTTGAGCATTTTGGAGCACCATTTAATTTCCTATACTAATGTGAACAAGCACTTGATTTCATGGTTTGTCTACTTGTAATTGTAGCTTGACTGTGAGCTTAGAACCATTTGTTCATTGGGCCTTAAATCTACATTTAATTGACCAGCTTTGTGAATGACTAAGTGAATTCAATTAGTTTTAACATGGCACACTGGGATCTCTCAATAGATTTGTGTCAATTAAAGTACTTTCATATTTTATGATGCTTATGATATGTTAGAAAAATATTTTTCTGCATCATTACTTTACCATGAATACAAGTTAAGATGAACTTAAAGCCATAAGCATTTTCTAAACCTTGGATAAATTACTGCCCATGACTAATCTCATTTTTTTTCTGGACAAAGATAGTCACAATATAATAAAAGATAAAAAATCACAACATAACAAAATAAAGTAAGAGGTAATTTCTCCTTTTCCGTTTATCTTCAGTTTATATATCTGTTTAAACATGAAGGCAAATAGAATACAAAAGTGCTGTTTCTAACAAACATTTCACAGTTCTTACAAAAGAATATAATTACAGGTACTTTGGGAAAATTTTAGCAGGAAAATGGGAGATAAGTTACAAGAAAAGTAGCTTTTCTTTTCATACCTTTTTATAGCCTATTTAGCATCTGCCTCCCTCTTCATAAAGCTCTAGCTTTATCTCTTCCTCAGAAAAGATGGAATAACTTGTTGAAGGTAAAGATATCCCATGATACACACTTTACTCTTTAAAGTTTATAAACAAATATGTTCCTAGTTAATCTGTCCACAAAAACTAAAGAAATTGTTCCTAGTTAATCTGTCCACAAAAACTAAAGAAATGTGGGGTATTTTTTTTTCCTCCTGATCCTATGGAACTGTGATTTAAATAACAGATGAAGTGAAAGATTTCTACTTAGAGATACATGGTAAAAAAAGACACACTCTATTCCCCAATATGGTAAATTTTTCTATGAAAATTCACTAAATTCCTATACCTATGTCATAAACCCTCCCTATGACAATTTTAATGAAGTTCAGTGTGAGGGAGTTCACTTAGTTTAGGTATAAAATACAATAACTTAGTTTGTACCACATGTAAAGACAAAGCCTACATTTTTTTGGTTTTGTGTTTTTATGTGTACTCTTGTGAGTCATGTTGATCAGATTAGTCAAGAATTGGACATAACAGACAGCAAGTTATTTTCCTTAAAATACTGATGATGTCAAGAATCTCAGTAGCTTTATTTCCTATCTTCTACAGCAAGAAAAGAAAAAAAATATTAACATTTTGCAGATTCTAACTTTTATTTAATTTTCTTTCAGTGGGAGATTTTGACCCCTTACCTGCAAAGTACCATTATTGATGACAAGCCGAATTAAAAAACGTGTTGTTGTTTCTGGCTTCTGTTCAATATTTAGGAGAAGTCCATGAGGATTATATGTCTTAAATTCCAGGTGGATGAAATTTTGCATATTCAACTGTAAGCCTTGAAATTCCAGGTAAGAATCACCATAGTAGTGAGCATAACTAGAATCTGTGAATAGAATTTTGAGACATGTAAGGATATAAAGACATTTTTCTTCTTCACACACTCAATTTCTTATTATGGTAGTAGTAGCAAAGATATAGGATAATTTTTTGCATTCTTCAAGGATTCAGATGTGAACCTGAAAAATGATATTAGTTTTCTTATGTCAAAGGTTAACATTGAGAGTTTATAAAACTAGACATAAAGGTTTTCGTCAAATTATATTAAGCAAGCATATAGATCAATCCCTGAAAGACTAGGCTACAAAGATGAAAGACGTGGTACATATCTAGCAGCTTTGGCTCAACATTTTTTTCCAAGTTAGGTCTTTTCATCAAACCTAGATGCAGGAATGAATGGGTTTGAAGTCTTTATGGAAACTATGCACTATGGAAAGGAAGGGAGACATTCTACAACCTAACAACCTAATTATGAAGTTGGCATCTTAATAATCTATCAATTACTTTGTGGTGCTAGGGTGAAAGCTTAAAATTTCCCTTGGGTCTACATTCACCTTGTCTGATTTATCTATAAAATTCGAAACATTCAGCATCCAGTGCAATACCTGGCAAGGGCAGATGCAGTTCTTATTTAAAGAGAAAAGCAATGGGCTTTAAGCCCATCAGATGACATGACTACACTTAAAAGGAACTTATTTGTATTTTTTATTTTTTCCTTCCTTCCTTCCTTCCTTCCTTCCGTCCCTCCCTTCCTACCCTTCCCTTCCCTTCCTACCCTTCCTTCCCGCCTCCTTCCTTCCCTCCCTCCCTTTTCTCTCCTTTCCATTATTGGTCACTTTCCCTCATTTCTCCCCTTCTTTTTTTTTCCTTGCCATCCTTTATTTCCCTTTCATTTACTGTGTTATACAAAGGAAGAGACATGCACATAAATACCTATTCATAGACAGCTGCAGTCCTGCACTTCATTTTTTTTTTACTTGCCAGTATTTAAACTGAGATTGCTATATTTGTCTGCTCGAAAAGACTTAAAAATATGTGTCCTCTTCCCTACGTGTAACATGAGAAGTTAAGTATTTTGATTTTTGTACAGGCTCACAGCATACAATTATTTGTTTGATCAGCTTCATGAGACTGATAAAAATGTAAAGAAATATTAACAATCCACCCATCTCATGAAAAATGTTGGTGCAACAATATGAGCCTGCATACAATACACAATACATAAGTGAATTATTCCATTTCACTTTGTTCAAATTTCACTCAATCACCTCCATAGCGATCTACTCTATCTTTGAATGTTACTGATCTCTTTTTATTTTCCAAAATAGGTAAAATTTTAATCTGTTGTGACAACAACTCTAATAGCAAATAGCTCACTAGATATGCTTAAATTCTGAACAGAAATGATACTGGGATAAAAAAAAGTTGATGTTGAACTTCTGTGTATCACTGTACGAGTATGATTATTTTTATCCTTTCACAACTTCGCATAAACCTATTTACAAAGTCAGAGTCACTGTGGTCAAATTGCAAACAAAGTTCTTAAGAAGTTCTCAGTACTATTTAAGAATCATCAACATATGCGTACATACAACATGCAGTAAAATACACCAAAAATTTCAATTTCTATTACCAATCAATACCCAGTGTTGCAATAAAAGAGATTTTACAGTTTTAAAAGTATCTAAGTATTAAAACCTTTTTTGAACTATAAGCCTGTAGGTGTAAATTTCAAAAAAATTAAGCTAAAAAAATTACACAGAAAGCTTTTTGCATTTTTTAGACGGGACAATTTCTCAAAGAAAATGCTTCAGAGAATTATTGCCAGTCCTTAACTCGTTTGTAGTCCTTTAGAGCTAGCCACTGAGCCCTAAATCTTTCTCTCATTCTGTTTGCCCTGAATTGCCCCTGTATAGGTTTTTCTTATCCCAAAGAACCACTCAGTTATCCCCACACTCCTGAAAGTCTGATATCTAACCATCTTTTTTTCTTGATTCATTTAGGAGATCAGCTTGGCTAAAAGACAGCGAAGTTGCGCACAACATCCCTTTCCTGCATTCCTAAATCCTTCTGCTACCTTCCCAGTATTTTGGAGTTGGGTTGTTTTTATTGTTGGGTGGTTTTCTTTCCCACATTGTTCAGTGTATAATAAAGTTGACATGTGAGAACAGGTCAGAACTATGTCAGCTCTTCAGAGATTTGCTAATACAAGGCATTTGAGACCCTAGATCTCTCAGAAGAGTAAAATCTGTAATCGTGAGGAGAAAATAAAAAAAGGTAGGCGCGGAACAGTTTATTCATTATTCCTGAAACTATAATTTAACTCTGATAACTGAAGCCGGACTGAATTATCTACTAAAATTCAAGGAAGACCAAACCAGCACAGGCTTGTGGCATCTATCTTTAGCTTTCTGTATGTAATTGTAGCAAGTGCAACCAGCACTGTGGACAAAACTTACTGCTTTATTCTGACCAACATCCATTTATTTTTATCTTCAAATGGCAACAAGTGATGATGCCTTGCAAGACAATACACTCCACTAGTCCACAAATTTGAGGCCAGTTTGGCTTCTTCTGGGAAATACATTCAAGCTTCTAAACATAAAACTTTTTAAACAAATCATCTGCAGTAAAATGGCTGCAATTGTTCTGTGTCCACAAATATGGAAAGAGTTAATGAGAGAAAGCACTGAAGAATATTTAGCAGGCTCCAAGTTTCTGTAAAACCCATAAAAACATGCTACTTTAATAACAAATAGGCTACATATCTTCCCACAACAGCTATTAACAAAAAACCCTGGTGTGGTTTTACCTATTAAGATTCTCACATTGTTTGTAACAGTACACTATTTCCTTCTATAGTACATAAGCTTTGCTTATAATCCTTCTACTGTACTTAGACACAGTTTTTTCATTTGACCTCTGGAGTTGGCTTCCTAGACTGCTTTTTGTCCTAACGGAGAAGACTCAACCCCCAAGCCTTTAGAAGAAAAAAAAAGAAAAAATTGAAACTGTATCTTATCTTTCCCTAAGAATGCCTAACACTTGCTTTCCTAAGAAACAGACAAGCCCTTTGGCTTATAAAATCCTCTCAGCTTTAGCTGGCTCCCCTGCGTACATCCAGCTCTCCCTGTGCTTGTGTTTACTAGACTTCATATTAATGTCTGAACGTTAAAAGGTTTGGGATTCAGCTGAAATAGGGAGCAGATACACAGGCAGGTCTGAAACCCAGCTGACAGACAAGCTTCATTAACTCTTGCCACTCTTTACTGGTTTTCTCCATTCCAATGAGTACCAGCTGCATCAGCTTCAGAATGGAGGCCGGCAAACGTAAAAATTTTTGAGAGCTACACAAATGGAAGTCTTGGTTTTTAAAGGCAGGCAGAGAGATAATAAAAACTTTTAATATGTTCACGAGCATCCACTCCTGGTAACTGAGCTTTTGTCTCCATGTATTTCTGTGTCTGATGCATCCCCTGCAGTTTACATGGACTCGGGCACAAAGGGGATTATAATAATGCTCTTCTTCTTTCTCCTACTATTCTTTTTGTTATGGTATACCTTGGAACAAAATCCTCCTATTCAACCTACCGGTTTTCTCCTTTTCATGTACATATATTTCACATCTTTTGTTATTCTTTTAATTAGAACTACCTTACAACACTCAAATAGAGGGCATTGTTGCCTATGGAAAGGACCTGTAATGAAAAATCACTTATTTTCTGTTTGAAAATTTTATTTATTTTTATTAAGAAGAATATACTATTTTTTAATAGTATAAATCTGCGGTCATAAAAACCACTTATATTTGTTTAAAACTGGACAATGAGAGGAAAAAAAAATTAATAAATCAATACAAGAAAGTCAGAGCAAGGACTGTTTCACAGGGTTGTTTGCAGACCCCTCAAGCCCAACAGCTGAGTTCCAATGGATGTCCATGGTCCAGGTTTACACCCACAGCATGCAAGAAGCAGTGCTTCTCCTGGGACAGCTTGTCTGCCATGGCTTCCTCAGCCAGGGCATGCTCATGGCCCACCACACTGGGCATCCAGCCCTGCTAGCACCTGCTGTGAGCCTGGCTGGCAGGACCCAGCTCCCTGCCCCTCCAATGGCCACACCTGTGGCTGTGCCATTGGCTGCCCTGCACTGCACGGTTCCCTCGCATTCCTCACTGCAGATACCACGCTGGGCTGGCTCTCAGGGTCTCCTGAAGAACCTTGTTTGCCTTCAGCAATGCCCTGAGCAGCCATGTGTCTGCTGGTCCATCACAAGTTTCCAGCCTCTCCTGTCTCAACAGCACACCCATCCCTACCTGCTGGGACGTAGCCTCTGGCCATGCCTACTCCCTTTCTGTGTCTGCCTCAGCTTCTTGCCCACACATGTTCATGCAAAATTCTGCCTGATGGTGGCAGCTGCCTCCCCAGACAACACCAGACTCCCTCACCAGACAACAAAGAGCTGAGTGGCAAAATGACCAGAAGTCCCACGCAAAGGAAGGGCCCAGGAAAACTAACGTGTATGGAAGACAGAGGACAAGGCACACACAGGTCTTGACCTTACATCCTCTTGGAATTTCTCTCAGGTGAACACCAATGGAACCAGAAGCAGTAGCTATATCTGTTCTTTCCTATATCTCTTCTCTCTTTCTTCTAATTCCTTCTCAAAATTTGAGTAAATAAAAGTCAGATGAGTTGGAGTTTGCTAAGTAGAATTTGCTAAATTAATGCTTTGTGAAATGCTTTATGCTGACATAATATTGCTTTAACATTAAAAACTTCCCATATTTTCTGAAGTTGGACAGTAAAGTTTTTATTTGTTTGCCCTCTTGAGAATATCTTGTCAGTGTTTCTCCCTTGCTTCTAACTCAAGTTGCAGAAAATAATGTTAAATCCTTTTAAAAGACTCATTGAGCGAGCTCTGGGGCATTACACCAATCCAACCTGATGTCCTCTCAACATCAAGCAGGAAGTCTTACAATGAGATTATGGAGCCTTCAGTCAGGCTCTCTGTACTCATTAATGGCAGAGGGATAAGATAAAACATTCT